GCCATTAAGCGGCGGGCAGGGGGGCAGTGGAGGCTGCTGGTTCTGTTGAGGCGGGGGGTCCTGGCGCTCTCGACATGGCCCAGCGCGGGCCCGGCCCCTTCGGGGCGCCCAGCAACCCCTTCGAGGTGCGCCCGGGGCCGGCCCGCTCCGGGCGGCGGGGGGGGACTGGGGGCTGCGGGGCGAGCTCGGGGGGACGGGACCCCGGGGCTGCGGTCGTCGGTGGGGTCTGTGGGGAGCCCGGGAGCGGGCAGCCCCCGGGGAAGGGGGGAGCAGCGAGAGCCCCGGAGCCGCTGCTGGCACGTGAGTTTGGTCCGTGTCTTGTAGGATCCCGCCGTGGTGCAGCACGAGGGCACCGTGGAGTATGCGACGCTGGACGTGTACAACCCCTTCGACACCCCGGGGGTGAGGAGCCTGGGGCAGTGCAGGGCTGCTGCGGTCCTTCAGCTGGGCCCCCGCCGCCTGCTCCGTCCCAGTCAGTGCTGTGCCCGGTCTGTGCGGCTCCGGAGGGAGCAGCGCGCTGAGGGGAACAGGCAGCACCGGGCTTGTGCAGGGGTCGGGGGACGAGACCTGCTGCAGCACTCGGGCCTGTGTCTGGAGCAAGGGCTTGGGGACTCCCCTGGCTGGACAGGACCATGCCTTAGGCCCCTGTCGCCAGGCATTTGGGAACTGGTATCTCCAGTCTGTGCTCTTGGTTGCTCTCTTTCTTACCCGCTTCCTGCTGTTGCCCTGGCACTTGCCCTGCGCCACGAGCAATCTCAGTGACTGAAGGTGTTTCTCTGTCTGCTGCAGCCGCCCCCTCTCTACCAGCCACAGGCAGGCGCTCAGCCACCTCCACCGGCTGCCAGTGTGCCTCAGCCGCCAGCCCCCGCCATGCAGCCCCCCAGGAAGCCGAGCCCCACGGAGCCCAAGAACTATGGCTCCTATGGCACTCAGGTAACGGGGCCAGGCCTGACCGCTCCCCTCACCAACTAGCCAGATCCTGTGCTGCCCGAGAAGGGCTGGTGCCCTTGGGTGGAGTCTGGGAAGGGAGTGTGGGAGCAGCTGGTGCTTGGGCCATGCGAACTGACCCTTCCTGCTGCTTCCGCCATCAGGCGTCCACAGCGGCAGCCGCAGCTGAGCTGCTGAAGAGGCAGGAGGAACTGAACCGGAAGGCAGAGGAGCTGGACAGGCGGGAGCGGGAGCTGCAGAATGCCGCGCTGGGAAGTGCTGCAAGTACGTGCTGGAGCTGCTTGTGGTGGCGGGAAGGGCAAATGCCCCCCTGCCGCTGGGGCCCAGCGGGCTCTGGCCTGCTCCTGCTCTGGTCTCTCACCTTCTCTATGGCTTGGCAGTGAAACAGAACAACTGGCCCCCACTGCCCTCCTTCTGCCCTATGAAGCCCTGCTTCTACCAAGACATCCCAGTGGAAATCCCCATGGAGTTCCAGAAAACTGTCTCCACTATGTACTACCTCTGGATGGGTGAGCTGGGGTGGGCCCAGGGTGCAGAGACTACGTTGTGCTGGGGGCAGGGTGTAGACTGGGGCCAGGGCGTGGGCACATGCCTCCCTGTCCTTACAAGAATGGGGCGCTACTCCTGTGAGGTGTAGGGAGAGCTGGGCCCTGGTGTCCCACAACCCCTCATCTGCTGCCTTCCTCTCAGCCAGTGCTATTGCTCTCTTCCTGAACTTCGTGGCCTCCCTGGCTTGGTTCTGTGTAGAACCCACGGCTGGTTCTGACTTTGGCCTCTCCATCCTCTGGGCTCTCCTCTACACCCCTTGCTCCTTTGTGTGCTGGTACAGGCCGATGTACAAAGCCTTCAGGTATGTCATACTGCAGCTCTGGGGCTTGGGAAGCAGTGGGCCAGGGCCCAGGGGCTAGTGTTTCATCCAGGTCCTTTGGGGATTGCAGACTTTCCTACTGTTGGCTTTGGCTTTGATATCCCAGAAACCTCCATGGCTTTCCAAGGGCTTTGGACTATAGGGACCTCCAGCTCAACTCAAGCGGGGGAAGTTGTGATGGTCTGGGCATAACTGACTCGGAAAACCATGGTTCCCTGAGCTCCCCCTGGATCCTGGGCTGCTGCCTCCAGCCCCCTGCCCCCATCTTGTACCCCAGTCCTTGGGTGCAGGGCAGGAGTGCTCCCTGGCAGGAGTGCTCCCTGGAAACTGTTTGCTCAGGCTGTGGGTAACTGGACAGGATGCTTCCCTATAGGTAAAGCCCCTGTAGCAGGGCCTCCTGCACTGTCAGCTGCTGCTTGGGGGGGCCCCGTGCTGGGGGGAGAGGAGGTGGTTCTTGTGGGCAGCACACCCTAACCTGAGCCTTCTCTTCCAGGAGCGACAGCTCGTTCAACTTCTTTGTCTTCTTCTTCATCTTCTTCATCCAGGACATTGTGTATGTCCTGCAGGCTGTTGGCATCCCACACTCGGGGTTCAGGTAGGGGGCACAGAAGCTGCCAGCTCCTCTCTCCCCAGCCCAGCCATGCTGCTCCCTGCCACTTGTGTCCCTGGACTTGGGCTGGGCTATCCAGTTCCCCATGACAGGAGTGGAGTTAGGCATCCAGCCTATGGAGCGTGGTGTGCTGGAGCAGGTACAAGGAGCCTGTGTCTGCAGGCATTGAGGGGTGCAGGGGGCTTGTACTCCATGACGGCCTCTTCTTGCAGCGGCTGGATATTGAGTCTGACGGTGCTGAGGAAGAACTCTGCTGTGGCAGTGCTCACGATCCTGGTATCCCTGCTCTTCACGGCAGTGGCTGTGCTGGGTGTTATCATGCTGAAGAGGGTGAGTGTCTCCCCTGGCTGGGCCTAGGGCAGGCTCCTAGCTTGCCCTGACTCCAGGAGCCTAGCTGAGCCTGCTGCACAATGGAGTCTTCTTGAGTTGGGTAGGTCCTGCTGCAGCCCAGTGCCTGTGGAGCAGCTATGGGCAGCTGTATGGGCCACAAGCTACGTATGACACCGTCCTTTCTCCTAGATCCACTCCATATACCGTCGGACGGGCGCCAGTTTCCAGAAGGCGCAAGAGGAGTTTGCTGCCGGGGTGTTCTCGAACCAAGCGGTGCGCACGGCTGCAGCCAATGCCGCAGCAGGGGCAGCGAGCAATACCTTCCGGGCCCAGTAGTACTGGACCAGCCCTGGCTCAGGCCTCACCCGCAGGCTGCTCCTTCCTGGGGAAACTACATTGCACTTTCATCGGTCCCTGTGTCTGCAGCAGTTGGTCGGAGGCTGCCTCATCCCAGCTTGGAAACACTAATGTTTACTCCTGCTCCACCCCTTTCCTCCCAGGGCAAGGCCTTTCCCCTGGCTGCATGCTCCATGCCCAGAGGCTGAGGGGTCCCTCTACATGTGGGAGTAGGCTTGTGTGGGTGGGCCTGGCTGCTTTTCTGGCTCCCTGTGGCTCCTGCCAGCTGCTGGGGGCAGGAGGTGTGGGTGTCACTGGGGGGGGACCTAGTGCCACCTTTGGTGCCCTATAGGACCCTCTATGAGGCTCTTGCCCCAATCCCTGCCCAGGGGAAGACTTGGTGATGGATGCAGTTGTTGTGATGCCCTGGGCCTGGTGGGGGAGGGGGGGTCACAGTGGAGCACTGCCCCTCCCTGCTCTTCTCCTGCAGGGAGGGTAGCCTTTATTAGGGAAGAGCAGTGCCAGGGCAGCTATTGGCTCCCTCCTACTACTGCCTGCCTGCTTGGTGCCTTCTCAAGCTCTCCAGAGCTGGTGCTGCTGCTCTGCATGTGAGGGGCTCCATGGGGTGCCCTGGTCCTTTCCCAGCAGCATGAGCAGGCTTTGAGCCTGGCTGTGCCCACATGCCCCCTCCCCCCCGGCACTGCACTTCACTGCTTTCCCTGCCTCTCTAGGGCCAAGAAGCTGTTGTGGCTTGGCTGCCTCTGCTCTGGCCCTTTGGGAGCTATTCCTAGCACCCCACACCCTGGGTTGCTTCTCCTGCTAGCATTCCTCCTCTCCCCCACTTCCCTGCTTTGTGCCTCGTGCACCTCTCCCTGCTGTGTGCTCCTGCAGCCTGTGCCCTTGAGGCAGCCTGGGCTGGGCATGGAGCCACTTGCCTTCTGGTGGCCTGAGGCTGCCCTCTGCCTTCCTGGGCCCCTTTACTGGAGCATCCTTCACTGGCTGTAGTCCCATGAGCCCTACCTTCCCCCTCTCGTGTGCGGGCAGGGGTGGCCTTGCCCTGGGCTGCGTGGTGCTTCGTGGCGGGGCTCAGTGGAGCCCCGCGCACCACTGCGTCCCCTGCGTCCGGCTCTCTGTCCCGATGCACGTCTTGCTGCGCCGCAAGCGGAGCTTCGGTTTTTATTTAAGAGAATAAAGGATGGAGACACTGCTCGCTGGCGTTGGGCTGTGCGGGGGACGGGGTGGGCGGGGAGGGGGACGGCGCCTGGCCTCCGCTCCAGCTCGGGGGTCGCGTGCGGCCGGGCTGCGGGGCGGAGGTCCCGGGGAGCTCTTGGCCATCGCGGGGCGGCA